AACTTTATCCCAGGTTAATGTCTCACTTCTGAATGTCTACTTTTCAAAGTTCAAAGTTTTCCTTTGCATATATATTCTTTTGATACATGCATAGCATCCCATTATTTTGATCTAATGTGATAGACTTATTTGCTTAACATCATCATTATTAATATTCATTGGTAATTTCTTTAAGTTATTATAATGTCATGTTTCTCTCTCCTGCCTTGCTGTCAGTTGCAGAATAACAGATCTGCTGCTAGTAACTATGCCTGTTCAAGGAACTTTTTTCTAATTTCATTACAATTTTCAGTAATGATACAATTTTTAGTAATTAACTTTCCAAGGATAATAGAATTATGTGTGCATTCTAATGTAATAAAATTTAAAAGAAGTCTAAATATTGGTAATGTGAAGGATATGGATTTTGGTTTGTTGATTTTGTGACAGATCCAATATTCATCCTAAATGTTTTTTGATATTTTTATTTTTCAGATGTATAAAAAAAAATTTTTTTTTAAATGTAAGCAAACTAGATTTTAAAGCCTCAAGTAAAATGATATTATTAAAACATGTTCTCAGCATCATTATATACACTAATCTAGCAGGAGGTAAGAGAATAAGAGGTATTTAGAAACACGTCTAATTCTAAAAATAAAATCACTAATGTCATTTGTAAAGATCACTCACTAGTATAGAATGAATAATGCACTATATATTTGAACAGTGTTTTGTAATTTAAAATCACGTTCACACATATTTTATCAAGGAATCCTCACAATAAACCTGAGGGGATGTTTTTATACATTTTCCCTTTCAGATACGTTAAGTGGGAAGTCAGACTAAATGCTGCTGTCAGCCCAGAACCAGGCGCTTTCAAATAAAGCTTTTGCTTTCAGCCAAGACTCAGAAGTCCTTAAGTGTCTCCCAAAGTAGGAATTCCTAACCCACTTTATCCCAAGGATCCCTTTGATAGCGTACTGCTAATACACTCTAATGTTATGCCTGCACACAATAGGAGAAAGTGGTAAATTCCATTTAGAAGTCAATAAAAATGTAATTTTTTCCTATTCAGTTTTATGGACTTCATAATCTCTGTCCATGTACCTTCTTGCAGTTTGCAAACCTCAGGATAAGAACCTCTGCTTTAAAGTGCCTCAGAACTTGCTTTCCAATTGCAACAGAGCAGAGAAGAGAAGAAATAGGAAGTGCAAAGGTGGGGCTCAAGATCTCTCATTCTTCATTTGTCTGTCTTATGTATTCTATTTTATAGGAAAGGTTGAAGAATGCTTCCTCTGCTTGAAAAGTAGGTGAACGTAAACTCGGTCTACTTTTTAATGATGTTTTCTCTGCCTTTTATTCCACTCATATTAGTCTCACTGTGTGTCCAAGTAAAGAACCAGTTGCCACAGATATTTCCATCATATATAACTGTGAAGGATGTGAAGTTAAAATGACACCTCTGCCCTCCAGGGTTGTGTTGTATTTGTTAAGACAGAGCTAACGTAAGGCCACATTTTAGCAAACTTGGCTGGACCATATCCATCTTCTCAATCTGTTGAGATTCTCCTCAACAGAGCATGTAAGAAAAATAATTAGAAGGAAAAAAGTTAACAGAAAAACAGAATCGTCACTCAATTTTAGCAAATGGACCTTCTGATAAAACTTTATTCATTCACAAATATTTACTGAAAGCTTTCTCTGTGCTGGAAAATGGCAATGGGTTTCTCAAATAGAAGTACTAGCGATGTAGGATTTCTGTTAAATTTTTTTAATTCAAAATCTTAATATTTTCAGCAATAACCAATGAATATTGGTCTTTCCTTCATTTCAGATGATTATCATATCCTCTTTTATGAACAATCCTTTATTAAGACTACTTAATATTTCTAATTATTCAAACAGCAATGATAACAAAAAAAGAATAAATAGCCTTCTACATGGAGAAGAGAATGAGATGGCAAAGGTGAGAAATCTGGAAACACTGAGAAGTGAGAGAACCCAGAATGCTTTCTATCCTTCATCTGCTAAACATGACTCAGTTGGAAGGGAGAGAAACTTCTCGGGCATGATATAGGACCTACATCTCATTCTCATAAGAGAAACACATGTAATGAGGGACACCTAAAACTAAGAATGAGATAAGAGTAGCCTACTGTGATATGTTTTCTACTGTACAATGTATAGTATATTTTCTTTAACCCAATGATGGGATATTTCATGCCATTTAGTTAAACAGCATACATCAAAAGAATAAAGAGAATTAACTAAATAATAATTACTTTATAATAATCAGACAGAGTAAAAATGATGTTTCAGGAAACATTTCTCTAGAATGTAAATTCCAAGAGAGTAGGTTATCTCTGAATATTTGGCACAGTACTTCAAAAATATCAGTTAAAACATTGCGAATGCTACTTAAATATCACTGATAATGAATAGTCCTATAGTTTCTTTTCAGTTACTATACAGTATAGTCTAATGAAACAATATGCTCCTTTAAAAATAGCTCTTTTATTGGCAATTAGAAGTTATTGATAAATCAGTCAGACTTGTGGATTCCAGATCACAATGATAAGCTCTATATACCATTATTGCATTTTGATTGATGCATTATTCAACAATATAGTTGATTAGATGCCTGGTAATATTATGATAGCTACTATCTGAAGCTATTTAGGATTTATTCCTCAATCAACAATGCGTGCAACATAAAATTAGGATAAACTTGAGCAAGGAGCTTACAGAAGTGATTCTTTAAATGAGTTCTTCGTGTAATTAAGTTCACTAGGTTACTTGGTGTCTTCCTGAGTTGCTAATCAACATTCTACTAAAGCATTTAGGGACTTGTTTTGACCACTTTTCCTTTACTTGGCATCATTTATAGTCCTGATTTAGTGTTTTGTTCAAACTAAGGTTAGAACATCATAGACTCTTTGTAGGTGGAGTGAATCAAGGGAATATTCAAAGCTTTATTACAGAATGTAAAGAATTTAGTGTCTGTAATCTTTGACACTACTGACCCTTAAGGAAATTAAATTAATTTGGTTGATATTTAATAAAAAATTAGAAGTTTATGTTTTCTATTAGTTATGATATTTTAGTCTGCATAAAGAACTTTGTGTTTAATATTTGCTACTGCCAATATCAGATTTCACGTTCAAAGATAACGCAGTGGCACACTCTGTGTAGTCATGCACATACAGGATCTCAACAAAAAAGGCAGACATATCCACTTATCCAAAATTTTCTCACCTTGCTGTACTCTGTTGTATGTTAAAAGTCTGATTTCCATGCTTTGTCTTGGCTCTATAATTTACATTGCTCATTGACTAATATGATTAAAGAAAATTTCACTGAACTTTTAAAATGATTCTTCATTTTCATTTATTATGGGAGGCAATGCATTGGAAAGTCCTTTGTAAAGTCTATTTGCAAATGATAGGTGACATCATTACAAAAAAAATATTATTATGTTCATTCTGCTGATACAAGCATCAAACTAAGCAGAAGACAGGCTAGCTCACAGAATGCCAATGTTCATAATTTTTCCTGAACAGGATGTTAAAATGATCTCGTGAAATTACTGTTCTGCTCTCTCAACATCAAGGTCTAATAACTATAGTTAGTAAATCTTGAGAATTTAGCTAAGTTACTCCATCGTATTGCTACCTCCACATGCATTTTGTTTGGGCAAGAGGCCTAAGGGGCCCTAAACTGACACTAGCCCCCTCATGTAAGGGCAGACCCTAGATAACAGCCTGAAGAGACACAAGCAGTTGCAAGTTCCTCATATGACTTCACCAACAGTCCTTGTAATCAACAATCTCCCCTGGGCAGGGTCTTCCCTTACACCCCTCAGTAAGACTTCTTGGAGCTTACCAAAACCCTGCTCTTTTTTGGTTTGAATTGACCAATCTGGCTTAGCCTGGGAACCCAAAACCACTCCAACCATGGACACTAATAAAGGCATGTGCCCCACGTCCTGTCTGGGTCTCTGCCTTGACTTCCCTGTGTGGCTTCGGGAGACTTGCCTTGTATTTCCTCCACTGTCTGTGAGTAACAAACTTCTCTGTTTCAACTTCTCTTGTGGTCTGTTGTCAAACCGCAACTCACCATTTGGCATCCTGGGCTCTAATTACAAATGTTAATTGAACAAAGTCATGACAGTGAGTGAAAGATTTTATTGATATTATACTGATGGTGATATTCTCATTTCAAAATTTTCAAGTTTTAGTTTTAAAAGTTATCCTGTCCTTCATTTATATGCATTTTAACCTATCTTCGCATTGTTGAATAGTAAATTGTTTGAACCTCTGAAGAGTGTATTTGGTTTGTCGAACTGAGCCTATATAAAAATGAATCATAAATGGCTCCAACTTGACCTAAGAACAGACAAAATTAACAAGGCTGGTAAGATAAAAATACTTTACAGATTTACTAATGTCAATCTTCAAACTAATTATAACTTAATTACAGACTGTGACAAGATTAAAATGCCATACAGATCATAATATGTTTTAGGTGGTTCTCATCAATAAATAGATAAGAAAGACTCTGAGGTGAAGAAGTAAATAATATTAGCTCTCTTAGTTGAAGCTAAATGTCAAATCAAAATATGTTATTTAAATATAAAAAGTGTGGGAGAAACCTTTAAGTTATGTAATTTCTTATGGATGAATAGTAGCCAATTAACAAAGAGGATCTGAGGTGCCCCTAGGACATATCTGCAAATAGATTTTATGTTATTTCAGCTAAACTCTATTAATTAATCATTGATTTATACATCCATGAGCTCAGTTACGAAAATCTACATTTTAGTATTTTGACAGTAATGATTTATGCTTTGGGACAGAGTGAAGGCATTTCCGAAAACAAATAGAAAAATATTATGTTTTTTCATTGATGATTTTTTTAGTGACATCATATTTTAAGTGAAATTAGACTTACGCATTGGAAGAACACTTCAGGATGCTCTAATCAGGCACATTTCAAACACGACTGGAATAAAAAAACACTACCTGAGGATTTAATACAGATTTCTTATCTCCATTCAAGATTGATTGGTCCAGGGGAATAGGCTGACAATCTGTGCTAAAAAATAAAAATAAAAATAAATCAATAATATCACCCCAACAGTGGTTTTAAATTAATGGCATATTCCCACCACTACACTGTTAGAACATTGAAATTACAGGGAAAAGTCTGTTACTCCCAAGGGACAGAGTCTCCAACATTTTCTGCCAGCAGCAGTTACCGTGAAATTGATATTCCCTTAACTTCTGATCATTTCCACATCATGTTTTGTTATTCTTTGTCTTCATAATCTTTTTTTCTTTAAACCTCCATTTTCTGCTTCATATTGCTTTAGAATGAGACACTAAAAACATTGTGTACATAATGCAACTTATTTGCTTATATAATTGTAACAGCATTCTGATGCCTATAAATTGGCACGTGTAACTCCCTAGTTTGTCACACAAGATTTCTACAATTTGAAAGGCCATGTGTTTATCTTATCACTTCGAATTATTCCACAACTCAAATTTCTTTTGGAGACAAATTCTACACACTTCTTTACTCTTATGATTTTGATAATATTTATTTCCTAGAATGAATTTTTTCTCGTCTTTTTTATTTAAATCCTACTCCTAATGCATTAGTGTAATCAGATGAATGGATTCAGAGACTATGATATTATATATATCACACACACATATATATATATACTCACACATACACACAGTGGAATACTATTCAGCGTTAAAAAAGAAGGAAATCCTTTCATTTGCAATAACATGAATGAACCTGGAGGACATTATGCTAAAGGAAATAAGCCAGATACAGAAAGACAAATATTGTTATGACCCCACTTATATGTGGAATGTATAAAAATAGAACTCACAGAAGCAGAGAGTAGAATGGTGGTTGCCAAGGGCTTGGGGCTAGGGGAAAATTGGGAGATGTTGGTCAAATGGTACAAATTTTCAGTTATAAGACGAACAAGCTCTGAGGATCTAATGCACAGCACAGTGACTTGGAGACTTTAGTTAATAATACTGTTGTATACTTGAAATTTGCTGAGGGTAGATAAGTGTTCTCTCCACACATACACACAAAAGGTAACTATGTGGGTGATGGATGCGTTAATTAACTTGATTGCGGTAACCATTTCACAATGTACATATTTCAAATCATTACATTGTATACCTTAAATATATAAAATTTTTGTTTATCAATTATACCTCAACAAAGCTGGAAAAATTTTCTTCATAAAGCTTATGTTGCACACCTCATTCCAAAAGGTTGTTTCCTGCCTGAAATTTAACAAAAGCAGCTCATTCAATCTGTTCTGTTTAATCTTGTAGATTTATGTGCCTCCTGTTCTGTGTACAAAAATTTATTGATAGATCTGCAGATGCTCTGTCAATTTGCAATACTCTGATATCCTTCTGTAAACCCCTTATGTTTCCTCTCTTAGCACAAACCTAGGTTATGGATCAAGAGTTTAAGAAGGCAGGACTCCCACATCGAGGTTGCTGATGTCCTATTCATCCCATCAGGCTGGAATCTTTTTGCATACGGTTTATTTTAAATGATAAATATAGACAATATTGGATATTCTATAAGAATTAACAAAGTTTTTTTATACCTTACCCTCCACAGAAAAAACTCTATACTAGATAGGTCTGTTCCCCAAGTCCTTCTCTGACAATCATAACTGGAGATTTTTCTCTTTCTCTTTCCTAAATGCATTAGAATGTGTTTCAACAGATTTTTCAATAAGAAAAAATGATAAGAAGAAATGTCATAAATTTTAGTCATCTAAATTATCCTGCAGTACTCCCAGAGCATCATGCTATTTAAAATTCTTAAAACATGTTATTTGCATGTAATTCTAACAAAACTTACATGAGTAAAATGTGCTATACAATTTTCTAAACTCTTTATAAGAATTATCATACTGATAATACTATGATGTAGGTAGTATTCTTAGCCCCATTGTACAGATGAAGAAAGTGAGGTTCAGAAAGTTTAAGTAATATGACAAAGGTCATACAGCAAATTAGGAGAAGAACAAGGGCTTTAACCTATAAATTGAACTCTTCTGTCTTATTCCACTACTTACTCCCAGAATATCTGAGTTGTATATATGACTTTCCAGAATGAACTCTACTTTCTCCAGCCTCTACGTAATCACATATGGTGGCTATGTAACGAGATCCTGGTAATGAGATATAAGCAGAAGGAACCTGTGGTAGCTTTTAGTTGACTTTCTTAAAAGATAGTTATGTGCGTTTGGTATTTCTCTCCCCATCTCTTCAAGATGATGCTTGAAATAGAAATATAATAGCTGGAAATCCATATTGGATGCATCTTAACGTTGATGATGAATTCTGTACCATAAATTTGGCCTGGCACGATTTTAAACTACTGGGGGGCCTTTACACTAACTCTCAATTGCCCACATCCCCAATTTTCCATGAGAGAGAAATTTAACTTTATTTTATTTAAACCACTGTTCTTCAGTTCTCTATTAATCATAGCTGAATTTAATCCTGACTGATAGATTTCCTAGGCTATACTGAAAAATCACGTAAAATTAGTACACCTTATAACACTGGGTTATATATATTGATATTTACTGTATTAAAACTTAGGAACTAAAAATATGTATTAATTTGTTTAGAGTGAGAATAATAAACCCAGTACATGTTAACATATTTAATGAAGAACAATTACAGTTTCCTAGGCAAACATTTAATAAGTGGCATTATTATTTATTTATTTTTTCATTTTATTTTTTTGGCAGAGGAAGATTCACCCTAAGCTAACATCTATCGTCAATCTTCTTCCTTTTTTTTTCTTTCTTCTTTTCCTCCCCCAAAGCCCCAGTACATACTTGTGTATGGTTGTAAGTTCTCCTGGTTCTTCTATGTGAGTCGCTGCCATTGACAAACGAGAGGTATAGCTCAGCCCCAGAACTGAATCCAGGAAGCCCAAGCAGTGTGCGCCTAATTTTAACTGCCAGGCCACCAGGGTTGGCTCAATAAGTGGCATTTTTAATGTCTGGCTTGACAGAAGAGAGATTGGATGGATTCTCATATCTGTTTTTGAATTTAATCTGTTGCTATATGATTTATTGGTTAACGTATATGAACAAAATTCAGCCTCACAGAGATATGCATTTGGAAAAGGGAGAGATATCTTAATATTTTTTGATAATTATAGATATTCTTCTCAGGTACTATTTCAAAACTCAACAATTGGTAGTTTCTTAAAGGTTAGTTGCAATTAATGAAACTAACTGAAAGCATATCAACAACCATTTTATATTCTCTTACATTAAAATTTATTGCCATACCTTGTATTTTGGATGAATATTTTATCAATTTGGAAAATATCAATTTGGAAAATTACTAAGTAATGCAGAACCTCCACATTTCATACATTTCAATGAAACAATAAAAAATTGTATTCTTTAATTTTACACCTAATCTCATCAGAAAAGACATTGCGTTAGAAGATACCCTCAAAATGGTGGTTCCATCTTTTCCAAAATTTTAATATTCACTTGAAAGCTTACATTTTATCATTAACAAAAATTACCTTCAGTTGCTATCCTTGAAGTAACTGTTCTGTTCATCTTAAAAAGAAAATATCTTCCAAATAATTGGGACTGATAACTATTGTTTGTTGGTTGTTCCTTCAAGTAAAAATTGCAAAATTGCATCCCGTGAAAGAACTAGCTATTTCAGCTTGCAGCTCAGTCACACTGTTGTTTATGTTTTTGAGATACCCATCATACCAGTGCTCAGCAGAAGTCCTTTCCCTGGTCCTCCTATTTTATCACACAGAATAATAAAACGATGTGTACTCAAAGATCGATATGTAATAAAATTAATAAATTCTGCTGTTTCATCAGGCAGAAACCGTCTTTTTAAAAATTCTGAGTGAGTCATCCTGCTATGTATAGGTCCTGACCAGTAGAGATGCAGGCCAAGGGCAAAGAGAGTAAGAAATGGAAGGGGAAAGAATTTCTTCATCCTGATATATATCTCCATATCGCCCCATGTTATGTGATACTGGTATACATACATATATATTAAACATTCTCCTTTTCCCCTCCTTTCTTTTTTCTCCTACTTTTAGATGTGGTGAATCGGTGGTGGTGAATTTTATAATTTAGTATTTAGAACACAGGATATCACGGTGAGATTATAAGTGAACTAGAAAAAGAATGAACATTATCCAGAGACAGGGACAATGACACACGGAATACTCGATTTTTCGCTTTGATGCAGTCCTACCTTCAGAGTGTAACTGAAACGCGCTCTTCTCGGATCTCAAGCCGCTGGGTTCTCGACCGGAAGTCACGCCATCTGCTCTCGCGTTGTCCAGTTTAACGCGGACACAGATTTTGGGACTTCTCGGTCTCCATACTCCTGTGAGCCAATTCCGAGATTTGCGGTCAGCAACCTGGAGAACCGTGGAGCCGATGATCTAATTTCCGGTCGGAAACGCAGCAGGGTTGAGATCTGAGAAGAACCGTTTATTCAGTTCCACTCTGAAGGTAGGGTTGTGCATAGGCTGTTGGTTCTCTTTCTCTGGCGAACTCTAATACACCTGTCTTCATGATTGTGGTAGAAAAATGGTTTGCGAGTCATTTGGGACTCAAGCTCAGAGTCTGTTTTTCCAGCCTTTCCTGTGAATTTTGTAATCAGCTATTAAATCTTCCCTTTTAATATAGGTAGAGAAGTTTTTCTTTCTCACAACTGGAGCTGGACTGATACCAATAAATTGTTTTAATATCACATAAAATTATGTTATTGTGGTTCCTTTGTGCTCGTTTTCAGTTAACATAATTTTAAATTCTTTCTGACTGTAATCGAATAACTACTCGAAGTCTCAATAGAATAGTTTCTTCTTTTTAAAAATTATGAAATACTTCAACTTATCAAAAAATATAGAATGTATATCCTACTACATTTCCATTAAATTTTTACGTTTTACCAGATTGCTTCATATTTTTTTAAACAAATGTAAATTAGAGATTGGCATTTGCTTTTCATAAAATGTTGTAATTTCAGACATTTAGCTTTACTGCTTCATGCACCTCTAATTTATTTACTCCAACTGCTATTTAATAACATATGAATATTTAAAAATGTATATATTCTCTTCCAAATAATAGACAATTAAAACGTTTTCAAATTTTTAAAAATTCTGTAATAAATACTCCAAGGTTTTTTTTCTTATGCACATGTGTAAGAATTTGTCTGACATATACGTAGACTTACAATGGCTAGGTCAAAGTAAATGCAAACCGTTACTTTTGATAGCTATTGGTAAATAACTCTAGGAAATAGTTGTGCCAATTCCAACTTTCAGTAACAGCATGAGAATTTCCTTTCTGTATGTTTCTTCCCCAAACTTGGAGATTATTTTCTATTAGAGTGTATCTTTCTTATTCATAAGTATGAATGTTTTCATAGTCTCAACAGTAATAATAATACAATCGTTGCGCATATTTTCTCCTAGTCTATGACTAACTTTTTAATTTTATGGTATCTTTAGTTGAACACACATTGTTAATTTAACATAGTCTATTTTATACATCTTTACTTTCATAGGTGTATCTTTTTAAAGAAATACTCCTATTCTCCAAGATTGATCAGATATTCTTTTTTTTTTTTAAACCAGGGTTAACTCTCTTTTTTTCTGTTTAAAATTTAAGTCTTTAATCTGCTGATGAATTTTATGTATGGGCTTAGGTGGAATTCTAATTTTCTTATCTTTTGTTTTTGTACATTTAAGAATCCTAATATAATTTAAGTAGCCCGTATTTGAGTTTTTACTATTTTTGGCTGTAATGGATAGCGTTGCCATGAATAGTCATGTACATGTCATTTGGAGGATTTAAATACACATTTTGGATGGGTATATGGCTAGGATTGGAATTCCTGGGGTGTATGGTTTATATGCATGTGTCCAGCTTTGAGATACTGCCAAATATTTTTCCAAAGTGGTTGTAACCATTTACCTTTCACTCCAATGTAAGAGTTCTAGTTTCTCTGCTCGTTGATTTTTAATGTATATGACAAATCAATTTATGATTGTCGTTTATATTGATTTCTAAAAATTCTTTATTTATTATTTAAAATATTTCGTATTTCCTAAACTTACCTCTTAGCTTTTAGAAGCTTCTTGTATATTAGAATCTTTCATGTGGAAATTCAAATAAGCTATAGTTAATGGCAGTTTGTATATTTGCTTTTCATTTCCACAGTTTTTACTTCTTCTCAGTCTACATAATTTGGCTGAGTCCTCAAATAAAAAATTGATGCTCACAACCAGAAGGACCCACAACGAGAATATACAACTATGTACTAAGGGGCTTTGGGGAGAAGAGGAAGAAAAAAAATTAATGTAAGTAGTGATATGGAGTAACATTGATTTATTCCTAATTTCACTGTGAATACTGCTAAAAAGTTCATTTTGAAGAATGTTCCATAGTAAGCATCTCAGTGATATCCATTATCAGGTTAAGAAAGTTTCCTTTTATTCCTAGTTGACTAAGAAATTCCTTTTATTGTGAATAGAGCTTAAATGTTATTCAGTTCTTTTTTCTGCAGTTATTGAAAGGAGCCTATGTTTTGCCTCCTTTAATCTGGTAAAAAATCATATTTTATGATATTTCCTGATATTAAATTATCCTTGCCTTTTAAAAATAAGCCCTACTTTGTGAAAATGTTATTCACCCCTTCTGCTTATGAAAATGCTATTTCCTCCTTTTGCTGAATTTTATGTATTTGTTATGATTTTTGCATTGATTTCTATAAGTGAAATAAGTCTTTCTTTTCTTGTATTGTTCTTGTCCAGATTTTACTGGACCCATAATATTAGTTGAATACCTTTTCCTCTTTTTATTCCATACAATAATTTTTTCAAGTTAGCAATAGAGATATATTCCTTGAAGTTTAACACTCACCTGTTTGTCTTTGGGGACTGCTGTTTCTTGGGGTAAAATGTAGGGAAAATAGTACATCTAATATTAATTCCATTTTGTCAATCATATTTTTAACTTCACAAGTCAATATTATTTATTTATATTTTTACTTACAATGACACATTCTGTCTAGGTTTCTTGTTAATTTTTCCTGTTGCATTTACTTATAATGTTTTAAATATCTACTATGCTGTATATATAATAATATCACAGTTTTTCATAACTTATATTTTTACTGGTGGCTTTATCTTTTTCATCTATATTTCTGGAGGTTTACCTGTTTTGTGCTTTTTTAAAGGAATGCATTTTCATCCTGTTGATTCTTTCTGTTCTGTTTACTTAGCATCCATTTAATTAATATTTGCTCCTATTTTATTATTTCCTGACTTATCATTTCCCCTTGGTGTGCTTTTTCTTTTAGCCTAGCATTTTGAGGCCAATGTTAGAATCCTTTATTTAAAAAAGTAATGGGTGATGAAGAAAGGCTTTGGCTTTGGAATCAGATATTTCAGTGCTCCCACCTAGTAACTTCATGACTTTCTAGGAGTATAACCTCTTTGGATGTCAGGTTCCTCACATGCAAAAGGTAAAAACCATCGCCTTCCCGTGTGGCCACAGCGAAGATTAAGTGAGCAGACTTAAATAAAGGGCTTCACATAGAGCCCAGTGTACGGCAGATCCCCACAAAGGGGAGCATTTGTGTCCATCTTACTGTTGAGGCAAAGACGAATTATGTTCATGCTGATAAGAATTTTCTTAATGTTTAGAGATTTGTTTCATATTATCAGAGGGTTGTGTGTCCTCCTTTTTTCTAACTCAGAAATATAAATCTACTACCACACTCAGAAGAGATTCACAGTCATATGGAAACACGTAATTCTGGTTTATCTTGTTTATCTAAGGTAATTCAGACTTAAGTGTCTTTAAACAAGTGGTAGTATGATTTTTTCATGATAGAAACAAACCAGTTGGGGATGATATTATATCTCTCCTGTAAATATTTGAAGATTCATTTTCTTCTGGTTTTAAAATAAACCAATAGATTCTTATAGATCTAATCAGAGATGCATTACTCTTTTAGTCTCTTTATGCTAAGGTTATGTAAATAGCAGAGTCCTAGTTTGCATTTATCGTTTGACGGCTACTGTCTAGTTCATTAACATTTCTTGAGAATGTAAAAATATAGGCGTGGTTGTAAAGAAGATTTTTCTGAAATTGTCAAGATTGTTCATGTTATGAAAAGAAGTTACTAAATGAAATATTATAGAAAGCTTTAAGAACAGAGATATTTAGAATGGATCCAGCGAGAGACAGAGGAATGATATGAGTGATTTCCAGTAGTTGTTTAACACTATTTTAACAGTTATATCTCCATTCTTTCTAATCTCAACTACTTTCCCATAAATACATAAATTTTTAAAAGTGGCAATCTCCAAGTAAACTCTGCTACTTTAATTATGCTATTAAGTCTGGGTCTAATTCTTCTTAACAAATCATAAATAAGATTTTACATTTACATTCTGCCTAAAGGCGGAGAGAGGCATAAGTCTCTCTAGAGATAACTGTTCAGAAAAAACTTCAGAAAATGGCAATGTTTCTAAAAGTTTAATGTAAGATTCTTCATCTCTTCTTTAAGTACATAATATATGTATGTGCATGCATATGTACTTATATGTATCTATGTTAGGCAAATAGATACATATATAATGTTTTTTGTAACTAAAATAATTTTTCTTTGTGTATTATATCCAAAAGTCACATTTCACTGAGTAAAAAATGACTTTATTTTGTGAGTCTCACAAATATATGATTACAGTACTTCATTCTAGAAATCTTTACTTGGCTTAACTGAATTATTAAATTTTACAAAATAAAATGGCAAAAGTCAATTCATCTAAACCTCAATGTGTTCTCCTAATAGACAAATGGACAAATGGAATTAATCTGGGAGGTAATGCTTAAGAACCATTTATTTAAACTTGAAGTTTTCAGAGATTTTTTATGATAGCTTTTCTTGCTAGGGCTCACAGAATGGTTTCTATTCTGTCAAAATTTAATGAAAATTGAAAATACTGTTAAAAAAGCTAGAATTCATTATATTAAATTGCTGCCCACTGATATTATAACTGGAGCAATTCAGTGTTCCAGAGGCCTAATTTAAACTTTAGACAAGACAATGTGATAACTTATTAAAGCGGAATTTTTTATAACTACCGTTAGCATATACTTCGATATTCCATTAGAACATGAGTATCTATTTTGAATTGGCCTAGATTTTCTTATATCAAGTATTGCTCCATTCTATTTTGAATTATATAACAGTGCACGGTGTAGCTTGTAATTTGTTGTTTTTTGTAATACTAAAGATAT